AGAAGGAGGGAGAGTAGGTGCTGGGGGAGAGTCTAGGCAGGTCAGGAGTCTCAGGGCAGAATAGGCAGGGACAGAGAGGGTGGGCTTAGTTGGGAAGAGCCAGGGCCATATGTAGAGTGGGTTGTGTGCCTCCTGCTATGGCATGTGTGGGCTGTCACTCTCTTATCCACCCATCTCTTGCTTCCACAGGAAAAAGGCCTGTGACTACTGGATCAGAACTTTTGTCCCATGTTCTCGTCCAGGCCAATTCACCCTGGGAAACATCGAGCGTGAGTCCTGAGTTGGGTGGGTCTCTGGGGCACGGACCTCCCTGCCCCTCCACACAGACGCTATCCTGTGGAGGCCGGGAAGGAAGCAATAGCTCCCTCTGCCTGGCTAGAGCAGGCTGATCACTCACCATCCACCATACAGGTTACATTGGAACCAAGAACTACACTGTCCGAGTGGTGGCCACAGACTACAACCAGTTTGCCATGGTGTTCTTTGAGAAAGTTTACAAAAACCAGGAGTTCTTCAAGATCACCCTCTATGGTGGGTCTTAACCCTTCTGGGACCTTGCTCTTGGCCATGCTGGGGGAGAAGAGGCCCATCACACCCAACTCCCAAGTTGCCCTTCACTCCAAGCCCAGGGAGGTGGGAGAGTGGTCTTTCCACAGAACCCCTCAGGGGGAAGGGGTCTGAGGTGTCTTTCATATATTCTACAATATTTATGGAGCTTTCACCAGACACTCACCAGACATCTTGGCCACAGGGAGGACCAAGGAGCTGCGTCCTGTGCTGAAGGAAATCTTCATCAACTTTGTCAAAACCCTAGGCCTCACTGATGAGCACATCATCTTCCCTATCCCCAACGGTAATCACCAGCTGGGGAAAGGAGAAGAACATATGGGGACTGTCCAGGTCTGATGTTTCCTCACTAGTAAAGTGGGGAGGGGAGTGACCCAGGCCCCTGTTGCAGTCACTGGAGTCCCAGGAGCCACTTTGGGCTCAGGGAGAGCCTGCCACATCCAGGGTTCTGGGCCCCAAGTGTTCCTCCCTCACACAAGCTTGCGCCTGCCCACATGAGAATTGCAGCACCGGGGCCATGTTTCCTCAGTCTCCTTGCTTGGTCACCTCCCCCTCCACCCAGGCATATTTGTCCTGGGTCACCTCACCTTTGTCCTGGGGCTGACTTACCACTGACTTGGGAGGCACCCTTGTCTTCAGGCAGCCTGGCCTGGGCAGGTACCTCCTCAAGGCTGAGGTGGTACTGTCAGGACTCAGAAGGTAAACAGGCAGAAGGCTTGGTGCCCAATCAGAACTGTGGCTGGGCCTCACCTGCCTCCTTTGGAGAACAGGTGTCACTCAGGTGTGCTTGTCCTCAGGCCTCTCCCCAAGTCCCTGCCCCATCATCTAGCCCTCTGCTGTACCATCCACAAAGGGAACTCCAGAGCTTCTGTGGCTGGTCCAGCCTGGGGCCCAAGGCAGCCGAGGGGCAGTGTAGGGGCCCTGGAGGTCAGGGATAGCACACATATACCCCTGCCCATGTTGACTATTCTGTCCCCCATAGATCAGTGCATGGATAAGTGAGCAAGCGTGCGGTAAGTATGGCTGGAGTGGGGGCTGGTGGGAGCCAGGGTGCATCTGGGAGGGGGTCCCAAGTCTGCCTTTGTCCCACCTGCCCAGCACTGCTGCCCTCTCTATTCCCTTGACTCCCTCTCAGGTGCCCTCTGGCTCTCTCCAGCCCATCCCCCTCACACCAGCCTCTGCCCACAGCACTGCCTAGATGTCCCCAACAGCCTGGACAGCACTGAGAGAGCCAGGGGACCCTCCTCACTGCACAACCAACCAGCTGCTCCCAAGACTGCCCTACTAATGGAACCCCTCCTTGTTCGCTAAATAAACACATATCCCATGGTGCCAGTCTGTGCTCCTTGACCTCTGGGCCCTCTGAGAGGTTAAAGAACATAGGGCAGGCTCCTATTAGCATCTCTCCCAGGAATTGTGGTCCCCAGCAAGGGATGGGGGCCACAGAAGCAGAGTCTAACTCCGACTGAACACTTCTAGCTCCCAACTCCAGGCCCAGCCTCAAACCAACAGCTGCCTTCACTTGCCCCTGCCTCTAGCACACTGATGGAGCACACCTCACCCCCATGTTCAGCCACCTGCAGCAGGTCAATGGCAGAGGCCCAGCAAGGGCCAGGTGTGAGGTTATGTCACCCCACTTCACCAGAAATGAAGTTTTGGGGGTAATGGGGGGCGTCCTGAGCCAAGGGCCAAGAAAGTATTCTTGAAGACAACTTTGGTGCAAAAAATAGGATTTTTTAAAGCACAGGGACAGGATCCATGGGTAGAAAGAGCTGCACTGGGGTTATGAAGAGTGACTGCTTATATACTCTGGCATTGGAAGAGGTAAAGTCAAGGGAAGTTTTCTAAGAGATTTTCATATGCTAAAGAAGATTTACAGAATACTGGGCACCTAGCTACTGTCCAGCTAAGGTACTTTTTCCCCTAGCAAAGCATTAGCATTAAGACAGTAAGGAGTTCCTTGAGAAATGTTCTTCTCTGCCAGCCTCAAGTATCTGTCAATGGGCTGCAGGGTATCAGGAAATTAACATTACCTGCCATTTCCTTCCTGCCTTTCTTCCCCATATTACTATGAGGGGTGATGTGGGGGCTCCAGGAAACCGAGTCTATAGGTTTCTAGAGATTAGGCTATTGATAAGATTGCCTTTTTCTTCTAATTTACTAAGATATTTGTAAACTGATGGAAACTCATGTCCTGCATGACTGGGATCTCTACCAGTTAACCACTTGTTTTCTTTCCTTTCCTTTGTTCTTGGGCAGCCAGGAATGCCTGAGGAATGTCACACACATCCCACCTGGGGTGGAGAGGGGTAATGCTAGCTTGTACTTTGCCCTCAGCTTGTCTTATGCTCCCTCATCCTATCCCCCATAAACAGTTTTGATCGTTACATCTTTAAGGTAGTTGGAAGTGGAAGGTTTCATCTTCTGTAGCTTCTTCTTGCTCAGTAAGGGAATAGAGATGTCCCTACCTATGAGTCAATATTGATCAGTTGGGGAACTTATAAAAGAGTTACAGAAGGCAGAGGCAGCTGCATCCAAGGTGGACAATGAGTACGAACCTCCTTGAGTAGAAAGGATCATCTGTAGGGGCGCCTGGGTGGCTCAGTCAGTTAAGCATCCAAATTGAGTTTAGGTCATGATCTTGTTATGCCCAGAATTCGTGATCCCCAAAGACCACTAGGGAGCTGAGTCCGATGCAAAAGCAAAAGAGCCTTTATTCGAGCTAGCTCGAGCTCAATCCCCTACCTGCACTGACCCAGCGGTGAGATACCGGAGAGAGAGCAAGTTTCAAAAGGACAAAGGTTTTATTGGGGCCTAGGGGCAGTTGGTGAGGTAATGGCTGTGGCCTCAGCCGATTGGCTGGGGAAGGGTCTGAGTCCTGTTAGGCAGGTGAGGGGGGGGGTTACTCAAGGGGAGGAGGTGTGGTCAAGGTGAAGGACACAGAACAAGATGGAGTTGGCCGGCGTAGGCCTGCCCTTTCATTCCCCCCTGTCATGTAGCTTACGGACCCAATCATGGGACCAGCTGCATTTATGGTGACAAGGGGAACAGAATTTGGAGGTTTACGCAAAGTTCTGGGAACCAAGTGTCCCTGGGGTGGCTCTGGGAGGTCTGATTAAGTATT